GGGGGGGGGGGGGGGGGACACAATTATTTATGACTTGCAATCTGCCAATTTGTTAACATTTACAACCTCAATAAAAGTTTGGAATTTAAAGGCGAACACTTTTCCAAGGAAAAAAAAAATTAACCAAGACCGGTTTTTAACATTGGAGTGTGGTGCCGTCAGGTACGTCATCACCAACAAGTGGCCAATCAATTTATATGCATTATACGTCATCTCCTTTTTAACTGTTTAAATGATGATAAGAATAAATTAAAATTTTGGTTTATTATTTATTTATTATTAAAATCTTTATAATTTCCTCTTTGTTCATATATTATGGAGGGAATTTTTTTTAAAAAAAAACCGTTTTGTGAAAAGCCTTAACCGGTTTTCGATACCAAAACTGAAAACCGGAAACTGGAGAGCTGGGTTTTACCATTCATACCCTTGATACCACTTCCTACTGGTGTATGTTTTTAAACTATGGTGGAAATAATTAAATACGGATTTCTGTTCATTGTGTAGGCTTATCTAGACATAGTATAAATTGATGGAGGTGTCCTACTTGTGATTGTTAGATACTTTGCCTGAAGTAAAACATCATCGTATGTGCAATACTGAAACACATCAATTTAAGGGTCTCACTTATGAGGAGCACTCGCATCGAACTCACGACTGGTTGAATGTGGAAGTGAAATAGATTAAATTTGATCAAGAGTTTTTTTTTATTCAGACGATATCATTTTTAAAAGAAATATATTATTCCTTTGTCACATACTTTAATACTAATCATAAGAATCTCTCTATCCAAACAATTACAAACACAATCGTTGACGTCTTATGCTTTTGTTAAAACCAACTCGATCCATAACTCACTTTGGCTGTACACCTCCGGGATGTCGACCGACCGGCTGGGCAGACCGGTGACTATGGAGTTCGTCTCCGGCCAAAATATCCGGATTTGACTCAGGGAAAAGCCCAGGACCGCCTTGGCGGTCAGTGTCACCTTGTACGAGTTCAGCATCTCCGAGATACAGAAGCACCGGCCGTACTTCATGGTGCCGCCCGAGCAGGACCGCAGTTCCAGGGTGAGGATGCACAACTGGTACGAGAAGACAACAACCGTAAATGAGAATGAGATCATTTCTAAAACTTGAACATGAATGATGTTGTGGACCACGACTCTACCAGTAGACGATTACTCTAACAATAGACCACGACTCTACCAGTAGACCATGACTCTAACGATAGACCATGACTCTAACAATAGACCACGACTCTACCAGTAGACCATGGCTCTAACGATAGACCATGACTCTAACAATAGACCATGACTCTACCAGTAGACCATGGCTCTAACGATAGACCATGACTCTAACAATAGACCATGACTCTACCAGTAGATTACGATTTTACCAACAAAAGGAAGAGGAAAGACATTGACGCCCGCTTATGTCATGCCATGAAATAACGTATCCGGAAATTTGATCGAAAGAAATTTCGTTGACGGTAAATTGATTGACGGTAATTTGATCGAACGGAGATTTGGACGAATCTTTTTTTCCAGGTTTTTTTTTTTTAAATTTTTCCTTTACATTTCTTTTTCAGCACATTATTTTGTTTTATTATAGAGTATAGCGCGTTCAAAAAGAAATTTTGACGAAAATTTTAACGTGTGAACTGCAAAAAAGATTCGACAAAATTTCCGTTCGATCAAATTACCGTCGATCAATTTACCATAGACGAAATTTCTTAAGTTTAAATTTCCGGTAGCCTTGAAATTTACAACACAAGAGAAACAGAGTGGTGGGCGAAAAAATAAGGAAAGTAATTAGAGATATTTAGTTGAAAGGAATTAACTTGGTGTGCGGTGACAAAATACATTTTTGTGATATCATTTACCTGGTCAGGGGACTACATATTGACGATGGCTGCTGATAATGCCCCTCCCCCCTTACCTGGTCAGGGGACTTCATATTGACGATGGCTGCTGATAATGCCCCTCCCCCCCTTACCTGGTCAGGGGACTTCATATTGACGATGGCTGCTGATAATGCCCCTCCCCCCCTTACCTGGTCAGGGGACTTCATATTGACGATGGCTGCTGATAATGCCCCTCCCCCCCTTACCTGGTCAGGGGACTTCATATTGACGATGGCTGCTGATAATGCCCCCCCCCCCTTACCTGGTCAGGGGACTTCATATTGACGATGGCTGCTGATAATGCCCCTCCCCCCTTTTCAGAAAAAAAAAACGAAATAAACTTTGCGTGTGTCCTTTTGTATGTAATAACACGAGACCTAATCGTGTCTGTCGATGTTTTTGGCTTACATTTGTGTAATGGAAATCGCCCTTCCTTCTAATCTGAAAATTGACCTTTGACCTGGTCTGAAGGTCCGAGCTGTTGATGGTCAATGTTCCGTACACTTCAAACGAGTCTTTCCCTTCCATCAGGCCGACCCGGCAAGTGGTGAGAGATTTGGATTGGTTGTAGGGCTCAATGGTCAACGCCGGGCCTAAGAATTTATTTGAACTACGTCCATTTCAAATTCAATAGACAATCACAACGCAACAAGACATTAACGGGTATCCCCGAAACATAGAAGCGGCACTTGTAATGAAACATGTATAATTTATTTCAAAAAAACAAACAATAACCGACATATTTTTTAAGGAAATTCATGTTTAAATGGCTAAAGATTATTTCAAATGAAAAGATACGTATAGTTCATCTTCATTTTGCAATTGAGCACTAGTTGATAATTTCTGTGAAACAGAGTGTTGAAAAAAAGATCATACAAATGAAGACAGTCTGGGGATTTTATGAAGAAAGAAAAAAAAACAAAGGTGCAGAGAACGCCTTGAGCTGAGCGGATGACGTCATATGCCACAAAGAACAAGTCTTTTTAAATTGTCAACACCCTTTTCTTTGGTATAGACTGCTATAGAGAGCTCAGTTAGATTGTACAATAATTGTCTTAGTGTGTGGATCACTGCATGACATGGTGAGTGTATGCTTCAGCACAACAAGATACGGTGAGTGTATGTTTAGCATTACCAGACATGGTGAGTGTATGTTTAGCACTACAAGGCATGTTGGGTATATGTTTAGCACTACAATATATGGGGAGTGCATGTTTAGCACTACCAGACATCGTAAGTGTATGTTTAGCACTACAAGGTATGGTGAGTGTATGTTGAACACTACAATAGATGGTGAGTATATGTTTAGCACTACAAGATATCGTGAGTATATGTTTAGCACTAAAAGATATCGTGAGTATATGTTTAGCACCACCAGACATAGTGAGTCTATTTTAAGCAGTACCAGACATGGTGAGTGTATGTTTAGCACTACAAGACATGTTGGGTATATGTTTAGCACTTCAATGTATGGTGAATGTATGTTTAGAACTATAAGATATGGTGTGTGTATGTTTGGCACTACAATAGATGGTGAGTTTATGTTTAGCACTACAAGATATGTTGAGTATATTTTTAGCATTACCAAACATGGTGAGTGTATGTTTAGCACTACCAGACTCGATGAGTGTATGTTTAGCACTACAAGATATGGTGAGTATTTGTTTAGCACTGCAAGATATGGTTAGTATATGTTTAGCTCTACAAGACATGGTGAGTTGTGTCACTTACTGAAACTACTTTCTCGTACATACACGTCCTGCCATTTGATACGATCCTGAGGCAGAATGCATCTGTAGCTCGGTATGTCTCTGTCCAGACTACACATCCATTTTGCATTGACCTCTAGTTGAACATTTTTTTTAAAAAAGGGGGTAAAATACAATTGTATTGAAACAAAACTATTGAATATAATGTTCACAAGACAACATAGAGTGCAATTTCATGTTAGGTAGTCGAAAGGACATACCATTTGAGCCTATGACTGAAGAAGAGCTGGAGTGGAGAGGTGGATAGGGCAGACTCTTCGCAAACCCCCTATATAACATCCCCAGACAGTCCCTAGCACGGAATCCACAGGGAAAAGAAAGAGAGAAAGGCCTAAGAATACATTCCTGTGGCGCTACAGCCCATGTAAGACTTTGACCTGCCTCACCACTTCCTTCCACTCAGACCATCCATCCCTGTGGCGCTACAGCCCATGAAGCGCTTTGACCTGCCTCACCACTTCCTTCCACTCAGACCATCCATCCCTGTGGCGCTACAGCCCATGTAGACTTTGACCTGCCTCACCACTTCCTTCCACTCAGACCATCCATCCCTGTGGCGCTACAGCCCATGTAAGACTTTGACCTGCCTCACCACTTCCTTCACCTCAGACCATCCATCCCTGTGGCGCTACAGCCCATGTAAGACTTTGACCTGCCTCACCACTTCCTTCCACTCAAACCAAACTGATGCTTTTCTTCTCCACAATTGGATTCCCAACTGATCTCTATGTTTTTCCACCCCATCCGCCCACCTACGCCTAGGTCTGCATTTGAGACGATTGCTAACATATTATGCCTTTTTGTAGAGTTAATTAATAATTCACATTACCTTTCTCAGGTACTAGAATCTCTGCATATCCCTCGTAATAAATCACTTTACCCTCAAAGCCTCTGTCTTGCTGAGGACAAAATGTCAATTTTAGTGTTCAGTCACTGTCTAATATTCTCCCTCGTTATCGCAGATTTGTTCTCCTCTTTTATATCAATCATTTTCAATCATTTGTTTTTTGGAAAGTAAAAAAAAAAATGACTGTGTGAGTTTCGGGGGGGGGGGGGAGTGCGAAACTTCCATTTCCTGTTGAAACGACCGGACGGCGAAATTTCATTACAATAAACAGCATGACTTAGTTACTTGGCTCCGGCTAATTCAATCTCGCTCGGAAAACTTCAGCCATATTTTTCAAACTAATTTCATTCACGAAAACTTAATTATGAGTGAAAACTATGGTCAACAAAGAGAACTTTGTTTTTTCCTCCGCCGCCGAGACACCCATTCCAATCCCAACTAGTCCAACATTTGTTACATTTCACTTCTACGCATGCGTGTGTGTGCTGGAGTTGTGTGCCCCGTTGACAAACACTCCTACGCGTTTATGATGTGGGGGGGGGGGAGTTTGAGCTCTGTCATTTAAAGCTCATTCGTTTGCCTTCGTTGTCAATTTTTTTTAAAAAGATAAGCAAATTACACAAACGTCATCGGTTCTGGGAGAATTGAATTCATTTCATCGTAGAATTAGGATACAACTGGAACATTAGGATACAACTGGAACATTAGGATACAACTGGAACATTAGGATACAACTGGAACATTAGGATACAACTGGAACATTAGGATACAACTGGAACATTAGGATACAACTGGAACATTCCAACATCTACACACACCTTGAACCTTGACATAAAGACAGTACAGTTAAGGTGAAACTAGAACATCACGTTATCTAAACAGACCTCTAGCTTTGACAGAATGATAGTAGAATTAGGGTACACTTAGAACACCCCAATATCTAAACATACCTCTAGTTTTGACAAAAAGATTGTAGAATTAGGATACAATTAGAAAATCACACTATCTAAACACACGTCTAACCTTGAAAGAAAGACAGTAGAATTAGGGTTCAATTAGAAAATCACAGCATCTAAACACAACTCTAACCTTGTCAGAAATACAGTAGATTTAGAGTAAAACCAGAATATCACAGCATATAAACACACATCTAACCTTGAAAGAAAGACAGTAGAATTAAGGTTCAATTAGAACATCACAATATCTAAATACAACTCTAACGGTCACAGAAAGCCACGACTAACGACTATTAAACATTAACTAAATTGTAAAAAGAGACAATTTAAAACCTACATAGTTGAATTCTAAATAATTTCTTTGAAATTGTGCGCTTCCTGAGCTTGTCTTGCTGTATCTTTAAAAATTTGGTTCGAGACCTAACGAAGTAACTGATAGACATATTCTCGTATGGGCTTAAGGTAAGCCCTTACATCCTCATTACTGTTAAAGTACGCAACAAGACATTTGGTCGTCGACACATTAGGAGCCAAGTATCACATTGTTGCACCAGTAGTAGGCCTAATGATTCCAAGATTTGCTTAAAACGTGCTGCAAAATTATGTTCCCCTTGTTAGTGCAATAGTTTTTCTTATACGCTGAAAACTGAAAAAAGTTTACTTGTAACAACTCGACTATTAAAATGTACACCATCACATATTCTGTGAACAATGATTGATAATTAGCTATTCACTGTCCCATGTTATCAACACGTTTGCATCATACTGATGTCGCCTCCGTCAAATATGTTGTTAAAGGCGTTTTGTTTAAAGTCATTCATCTTTTCTGGTGATTGAACTTAAGCTGACCCCAAGTTCGGCAGCGCTATTAGGGGTGGCTAATTTTAAAATAGTCTATTAAACCTTGGTTAAAACTAACTAAAATCTAGGGTCAGTATTATAATTAGAATTCTGTAGAATTATGTAAAAATATCGAGAAATGAATATAATGTGTGAGTCCTTTCGAGAAGTATCTATGAAACAGCCTATATATACACAGAGAGCGATTGAGCGAGGGGGAGATCAGACTAGAGATATTTTGATCACTGTTGCCATAGAGATTTTTTTTCTATATGAGACAATAGTAAACAAATCTTTGTCTTATATAAAACATTCTGATGTGTGTGTGTAGATTCTTTTTCATCATTGTACATTTTTACAACATTGTATGTTCTTCAACATTGCACCGGTACAAGCCAAACATTATAATTTAAGTCAATAGCTTTAATTTTTTTATTTCTTTCTGATATTGTTTAATTGTAATTGTCCCTGGATTGAGTATCGTATTTTTTGCTATTGTATTTAACATTTGGTACATTCTTTTGTTGTGCACTGTTTTATAACTGGGCATATATTTAAATAAGAGATTAATTTCTCCATACTGATAACAGTATGTAACATATGTACCTTCAACTTCTTTGAAGGCAATTGGCCACAGAACACTTAGTATCCTCTCTTGGCACACTTGGCTTCCTCTAGTGTTACACCTGGCATCCTATCGTTGCACACCTAGTATCCTTTTGCGCCACACCTAGCATCGTATCGCACCACATCTAGCATCGTATTGCGGCGCACCTAGCATCCTCTCGCGGAACACGTAGCATCGTATCGCGGCACACCTAGCATCGTATAGCGGCACACCTAGCATAATCTCGCACACATCTGTGTGTAAATTTCAGTGCAAGGGTGTATTTTGCTCTTAATGGAATTATTGTTGCACAACGCGATTTTTTAAATAAAAATTGATATTTTCGTTGCATAGTTGTATTTTAAGTAGAGAGTGGTATTTTGAGTGTATAGTCAGTTGTCTTATAAGTGCATAGTTTGATTTTAAGTGCATAGTGATATTTTTGGTGCATATACTTTAGGTGAAAAATTATTTAAGTATGGAGTGATATTTTGGGAGCATAGTCTTTGTTTTGGGGGGGGGGATACTGGAGGTGTTTGGAATGCAAAATGACGTCAGTTATAAGTTTGTTCTG